AATTTCACTTTTGTAAATAAATAGGGATGTCTTCTCAAACACCTGTACCCACTAAAATAACATTTATAGTAATAAGAAATATTTATATATACATATATCACATATATACTTTTATGTATATAATATATAAATATATAGAAACTTCAATGCTCATATATATATATATATATATATATATATACACACACACACACACACAGATACACATATATAATAGCACCTATTGATATATATATAAAATTATATAATTTAATGCATATCAAAGCACAGACTTTTTGGTATTAAAGTGCTTAATAGCTAACTCATGCTATAATTACCTTCTAATAATATATAATTATAATATCTTTGATAAGTATTGTGAACTTTATATATATATATATATATATAATTTTATTTTACGATATTACATCGAAAACATGTCAAAATCACAACACACTTGCAGTCATGTTTCAATGTGCATACAATGCATCTCCTCAGGCAAATTGTGTAATTTTAAATTAAATGTTACAAACGTTGGAATTGTACTCTATTCATTCTCATCTTACATACACACACACACACACACACATATATATATATATATATATATATATATATATATAAATAAATAAAGTGTATGTGTGTGAACACTGAGGTCAACAATGAACAGTGATAGTCTTTTTCATGCTTGAACACTCAATGTTGACTTTTTTATTTACATATGCTCTATCTCTGATATTGAGCACTTTTACCCATAAACATAGCACATCTTAAAACTATATTTTTATCATATATATTTGTTTGTTCTGAATACACTCCAACGGGTGCACAGGATCACCTCATCAGTGAGGTTATTGACTTGGGGGGTCATGACAAGTTTCGGGTCATTCAATATCATACCTATTTGCCCAAGCGATCCTGCTGGAACAATATATATTCCAGCAAGCGATCCTGAAGCAAATGTCTACCAACCACACAATTTTTTATATATATATATATATATATATATATATATATATATATATATAATCATTTTAAACATTATTTTTAGTGGCTACCTATATTTAGTAGATGCTCCATCTATTCATTTATATGACCCGCATGAAAAGTGGGGGAGTGCAGATTTGATTCCTGTCAGAAAGACCATCTTTTTTATTAATAAGATTTTCTGAATATTCAGGTTGGTAAACAAAAATAAGTATATATCCTCTTTAATAAATAGTGTCTAATCAAATGCAGGAATAACATTTAAAGGGATAGATAAAAAACTCATTACTTCTTTAGAAATAAACAAATATATATATATATATATATATATATATATATATATATATTAAATAATTAAGAAAGAGACAACCTTAAGGCCCCATGACTATAATTTCTTTCCCCATTGAGTTCTCCGGGTTACATCACTTTTGGAATTAGCCACACAGATTACCAAAACCTTCATTACCTTACTACACACACACACACACATAGTGTATAAGGGAACAGATCATTATTTAAACAGTTAAATATAACAGGCAACAAATGTCTATAATGTTTTATCATGAGCCTTTTCTGAAAGCTTAGATCAACAACCAATATAATATAGAAATATCCTAATGTTGGACTGTTTTAGTCTTTATTTTCTCTTGAAACTAAAGCCATTATACGACACTTGGAAAATCTCATGATAAAACATAATCGACATTCGTTGTCTGTTATATTTAAGAATATATGTTTGAATATATATATATATATATAGTCTAATATTGAAAAGGGCATTTATTTTACATAATATTTATTTTCAAAAATAATAACTTTTTGTCAATAGCCTTAATTCTTTGTTGAATATTAATCAAATAAGTCATATACAGTGAAAGTTTCAGACCAAAACGTTAAGATACCAAGCTGAGAAGTTATTAACCCAACTTTACACATAGTAAACAAAATAAGAGTGTTGTGTTCTATTTATTTGTTGTCTGATTTTTTCAGATGAGGAATTAACATTTTTATTATTAATTGATTTATTCAGACTCATTTTCTCAGAGTGATTATTATTGTTGTCATACATTTTATTGTTGGACATACCAGCTGTTCTTATAGTTTTGTATAAACCCTTTATTCAATCCATGAGTTCTGACTGTTCTCATTCTGTAGTTCATGCTGGACAATAAACTTAATTTGTTTTCATGACATCCCATGTCTCTTCTAGTGAGCCAGAGGATATGACATTTTATTGCTACCTGACCTTGTGATTAAATACAGAAGGAGAATAATCTAACTCCATGAATTGAATAAAGGGTTTTGACGAGACTTCTTGGAATGTTACCAACTATAACAGACAACTGAAGAAAGATGGAGATAGCTGAAATGTTGTGACAAAAACAACCAATAATCTGTGGATAATAATTCTATTTATTTTTTATCTAAACTTTTGATCTAAATAAACATCATCACTTGATAAATGAAAAAAATGTCTCACTTAACAGATGCCATTGTATAAAATTAACCAAAAAAATGTTCTTTTTTTATTAAAAAAAAGAAAGTGTTTTAAAGTCTTCCCAAAACAACAATCACAATTCGATTTTCACATAATTAGGGCAGAATCAAAATTTTTGATGCAATTTTATACTGTATAATAATGATGATGATAATAATAATAATTAAAATTCTGCTGGTGTAATGCAAATGACTTGACCTTTGATCCTGGCACCAGCCACTGTCTATTTGTAGAATGTTTCTATTTACCAGGAAGATTTTTGGAAGACAGGTCAAGGCGGGAAAACTTTGAAGCCACAAGACAAACGAATAGTTAGCAGACGGTGAGATTTCACTCCATGCATCCGCTTCTTGTGACCAGAGTATCAGTATGGCTGTAATGATCCCCATCTGCTTTTGTTTTGTCATCATTTTAGTCTTCAGTGATTTTGAAAAAAAAAAAAAAAAAAAAAAAACATTACATGATCTTTGTCTTGTGAGACAAAAACATTTTTTTTTAAAAATGAATGGTGCTTATTTTATAAATAAACAAATTTAAAATCTATCAATCTGAAGTTTGAAAAACAGTCATTCTACTACACCCACCAAAATAAAAATATTATATATATTTCATCTGAAATAAGCCACCATCTTTTTTTTTTTTTTGTACTGGGAATTTAAAAATTATGTTTGAAATTCACAGGTTTTCTTTATTTATAAACAAAGAAAACATAAAATATTTCTATTGCCTCCATGTTTGAGCAACTGGAAGCAAAGAATGAGTTTTATTTACAAAAGTTTGATTACGATAACTGCTGTTTTCTCTCTTGAATATATGATATATCTACATATTCTTCATCAAAAAGTAAACTCATTATAAAAATTTGATGGATGTTAAAGATAAATTGGACAGTAGCTCTAAAATGTTTACAATTAAATTTTATAGATTAACATTTTTGTTTCTAGGTTGTTTATATTGTGTAAAGTGACCTTCGACATCTTAGTATGAATTTTTTTGTTTCTTTAACAATATAAATCCATTTACATTCAAATTCACTAGAATTACAAGTTTTGTTTAATTTTCTCAGTTGTTTCTTTTGAGTCAATGAAAATTTCCATACAAATTTTGATCATGTTTACAGAGTTATTGCCCTTGATTATGATAAACTATTGAATTCAGGAATCATAAAGTTTTTAGTTTATATTAAAATGTTGGAAAGTTGATATCTTAATGTCCTGTTGTTTTATAAGTATCACTTTCAGTAAATGCTGGGTAACTTTTTTTTTCTGCAATCTGGAAAGGTGTTGGGGAGTTCAAATTTCAAATGAAACAGTTTGTGTTCACTTTACAGTAAGGTCCTTGGAAAATGCATGAATGTGCTATCCTCTCAGCTATCAGTAAAATAGTAAATAAAAAGAGGGGCTCTCTAGATTTGCTTAGTAATCAATCTGGGAGAAGGACAGCTCTGAACTTAAAAACAAATATAATAGATGGGGATTGTAGAACCACTCTGTTAAAAAGAAAAAAGAAAAAAAAAGAAATCTTTGCTAAAAAAAGATCAGTATGATGGCCGAATTAGATTTAGAAAGAGATTCCTTAGACTATTTAGAATTCCATCAGAGTTGTTTTAAGGTACCCACTAGAATATGATGGTTAACAATTTTACCTTCCAGGCCAATTCAGTAGTGTAATGCATGTAAGATGAAGAAGAGACTTGAAGCAACAGAAATGTGGTTCAACAGAAAGATGCTGAGAATACCATAGACCGAACATGGGAGCAATGATAAAGTTGTAAAGAAAATGGAAACAAAAAAGACACATACTTAAGAGTAGGAAGAGATAATTGAAATTTCTAGGGCACATAATGAGGAAAGAGGGCTTGGAAAATATGATACTCACAAGACAGATTGAATGCAAAAGGGACATAAGAAAACAATGCATAACCCCTGCTTAGTGAACTTGAGTAAATGGATTTCAGAACAAGGTTTAGCAGAGATAACAAAAAGACAAAATTTATTAATAGGTACAACGAACAGGAAATTGTGGAGAACCATGATCGCTTATGTCCTTAAAAGACACAGCACATAAAAGAAGAAAAAGAAGATCAAGTTTGTGTAAATGGTTCGCAGAACAAGATTTAGGAGAGATAACAAAAAGATAAAATTTATTAAGAGGTACAACGGACAGGAAATTGTGGAGAGCCATGATTTCCTATATCCTGAAGGGACACAGCACATAGAAATGGTGTGGAAAGTGGAATAGGCAGAGTTCAAATCCTGGCCTAGGCTGTGGCCTTATTTTTCTTCTCAGCCTTTGAATGTCCTTTGTTAAACGTAAGCCATCCCTATATTCCATTCATGAAGAGAAATGGGGCCATTACCCTATTGTGCTGGCCTAATCGTAGGGGGGCAGATGTGATAATTGTAGGGGTCAATCATGTCTCTTTATGATTTATGATCACCCAAGGGTGTGTTTATACATAATTGAATTTAATGAACCTGACTGGAATTCAAACTTCTGATCCCTTATCCATTACACCAGCAACAAATCCAATTTCACAGCATCAGGTATTCCCAAGTGATCACTCATCTAGGTACTGACCAGGCTCGATGTTGCTTAACTCCAGTGATTGAACAAGAACCGGTGTTTCTCTGTGATAGGGCCATAAGCCTGCTGCATTCACTTATCATACAAATGCATTTGGGAAAGGCATGAATCCATTCTTTCCTCTCTGCAACTATAAGTTGAACAGCAACGAACACTGGACCCTGTCTTGCTTTGAGTTACAACCAATCTAAGAGAAGGAAAACTCTTGACTCCAGTTCATAGAAAAACGAAAGAGAAACTCCTCCACTATTTTTCCCAAGAATGGTAATGGGGAAATTAACTGTTTCCATACAGAAAACATTAAGCACTTATTAACTGAACTGTCAGTTGAAATATATAAAAAATTTTTTTCTTAAAACAGTTTATCAGGAAATTAGACTCCACTAACTGTTATTGTTCTTTCTAGTAGTGATGGGAGTTTCCTTCCTAGCCTTTTGTTTATAGTAGTGTACTATCATTATTTTCTTCTCTAGTTATGCGTGTTATCCATTTTGTTGTTGCTGGAGTTGGAAGTGTCCAAGTAAAATATGGTTTTTGTTATTTGGTAAAGCTATTTGTTTGTGATTCTGTAGCGTCAGAGTAAAGGGTTTGATGAAGGAATGTGTACTTTATAATTTAAAGGATTTATTAAGAAGACAATTGGAAGGTAATAAAGAAAAAAAGAATCTGTGGAGAGCCATGACCGTCTCTGTGCTGAAGAGACATAGCATTTTGTAAAAAATTCAACTTGTTTCTCACGCAAGTAGTCCATTATTTTCATCTTGTGCCAGACTAAACTATGTTTAGTAAATAGCTATCAAAGGTTTATTACCAAAATTAAGGTAATCATTTAATTCAGTATAATTTTAGGATTGGCAAAAAGTTTAGCATTTGGAAAGTATAATAGACCAATTTATATCGGCCTTTTTTTCTATGTTAATTTTTCTTTGGAATTAGATTATAATTGTGAGTGTTAACACATAGCTTCCAATTTATGAGCTTTTATAGATCATTAGTCGACATATTCTCAGATGAATTATTCGCATTTTTATTCATTGTTGAGTATTTTTTCTTTTTTCTTACACTTGTTGCTTCAAATAATCTGAGGATTGCAGTAAAAAGCATTAGAAAGAAAAACATTTCAAAAATTAATAATATTGTAAGACTATTGTTATGTTACTGTTTTTACATGCTTGTTTTTTCAAAAAATGCTTTATTTGAAGGCAGACACAGAATTATCCCACTATATTCTGACAAGTTCATTTAAATTAAATTATTGAGAGCCTTATATTCTGGTATATTCAATAACACTATATTTTTGATAGCCCTGTATTCTGGTAAAGTCTGTAACACTACATTATTAAAAGCCCTATATTCTGGCAAATTCTATAACACTACATTATTAAGAGCCGTATATTCTGGTATATTCAATAACACTATATTTTTGATAGCCCTGTATTCTGGCAAAGTCTATAACACTACATTATTAAAAGCCCTATATTCTGGCAAATTCTATAACACTACATTATTAAGAGCTGTATATTCTGGCAAATTCTATAACACTACATTATTAAGAGCTGTATATTCTGGTATATTCAATAACACTATATTTTTGATAGCCCTATATTCTGGCAAAGTCTATAACACTACATTATTAAGAGCCGTATATTCTGGTATATTCAATAACACTATATTTTTGATAGCCCTATATTCTGGCAAATTCTATAACACTACATTATTAAGAGCCGTATATTCTGGTATATTCAATAACATTATATTTTTCAGTGCTCTATATTCTGGCTAATTCTATAACACTACATTATTGAGGGATAAAAAAAAATATTGTCCAGAACTTAAAAAAACCATTTCAAAGCCGGAAACTATTTTCATGTTCTCCTTTTCCAAAGTAAACCCAAAGCAAAAAGATCAAATTCTATGACATGCCAATTTCTATTGCAAGTGATGAAAATGGCTTTGAAAATTGTTCCCAAAAGAATTTCATCATAAAATTCCATCAACTACTTTTTCTACATTTTCTATTTTCATAATTGTATTAATTTAAATTTCTGTTGAAGCAATAAAAGATGTCAAACATCAAAAAGTGAACTATTTCCAAAACATGAAAACATTTTGAAATTTGAATTCATATTCTTTGACAATGTCATAAAAAATAAAAATAAAATATTTTTTCTAAACTAGAAATAATTTTTCATAATTTTTTAATAGATTTTAAATTTTAATAGATTCATAAATTTTTCCTACATTTTGGAGGTTTTTGAAGTTAACTTTTTTTTAGGTTGAAATTAAGTGTCATTTAGAAAAAAAAATGTAATCTCTTAGTTAGACTTGAACTTACATCCTTTCACTTTTGAAAGCTTATTTTACACTAATAACTTCTCTTACTAATTGAGTTACAAGAGCCTTAGATTTAATAAAAAGAATCAATTTATATGATTAGATTTGAACTTTTGCCAACCATAGGATTCTTGTATTGCAGTTGGTAAAAGAAGTTTTCTCAGGGCAAAGGGATGAAATTATAAAAGTCTCAATGAGAACATATTCTTTATATCTGGTCTGTGTTGTCTTTCTATAATAGCAGTCTGATGAGTTATAATGAAAAGCAACCAAAATTAATTTAGTAAAAATAATTCTCTTTTTTTCTTGTGCCAATGGTGACTTGGATATTTGTGGCCAGTTTCTTTATGGGAGGCTTTCAAATTACAATCAGCAATTTTATCATTTAACCAAATTGAAGTGTCTAGTCAAACATGGTCAAAATATAACCTGAATCAATCAAAATTCTTATGAAATACACTGACTTTTATGAATTCTTTCTGATTACTCTACATTTTTGCCCTTGTGCCAGGCTAAACTAAAGTTAATAACTTGTAAACTATTCTCTCTACTCCTATTTTGGCAAAAACTCTCAAGAATTTGCTTTATAAGATGCAAGTAGACATGATACATGAACAAACACCGCCAGATGCATGAGTAGACAACACTCAAAAAGAAACAATGCATATCTTTAGACAAAAACACTGTCAACTCATGAGAATAATTTTGATAATCCCTTATAAAAGTCAAAAGTATTCAGAAAACATTGGACAATTTATGTACAAATTCTCCCTGAAAACCAGAAACATGGTCTAGACCCCAAAAAAGTAAGTAAAAAAATTTTTTAACAAAAACCTTTTGTTGATCTTCAACAAATATATAAATGAAAAATTACTGTTCATATGGACCCAATATATATATAATATATATAATAATATATAATAGAAATCCCAAATTACCTCATTCGAATAGCTATTTTGGCCAACAAGACTTATTTGAAGGTCATATCAACTCAGAGGATTGAAAAACATTTTTTTCTCAGCCTTCTGAGTAGGCAAGACCTACAAGTAAGTCTTGTGGGCCAAAATAGCTATTCGAATGAGGTAATTTGGGATTTCTATTATATGTAATTTATATGCTCTATTATAATTGAGCTCTTTTTGTGGATCAGTTTTAATATTTTGTACTATTAGGATTCACTTGGATTATATACCAACAGATTATTACCTCTGTGTGTGTGTGTATATATATATATATATATATATATATATATATATACACACACACATATATATACACCTATATATATATATATATACACACACACACACACACACATATATATATATATATATATATATATACACACACACCTATACACCTATACACACACACACACATATATATATATATATATATATATATATATATAGTTGAATACAATACAATCAAAATCAGTTATACTTATATTAATAATATGGAAAAAATAATAATTAAACATAATAAAAAAAATAAATAAAAACAATAGCATTTATAATAATACAACTACAAAACAGCAATAATAATTGTAATTGTTGAAATAAAAACAACTGTCCACTTAATGATAAATGTTTAACTAATAATATAATATATAAAGCAACTGTATCAAATAATATTGACACAAAAGAAAATTTACTTAAGCACAACTGAAACTACTTTTAAAGAAAGATTTAATAATAATATGTTATTTAAAATAGATAAATATGCAAATAGTACAACATTTTCAAAATATATATGAAGTCAAAAAAAATAATATACCTACTAAAGTTAGATGGGAAACTATGAATAAAGTACCCCATATAATATTACCAATAGGAATTTTAGATAGTGTTGAGAAGAAAAATTATTGATATTGCCATTTAATAACCGAATTAAATTATTAAATAAGATCGAGATAATGGGTTCATGCCAACATTTTAACAAATATTTACTTTGTTACTTTAATAATAATATAACATAAAACAACAAATACAACATAAAATATTATAATTTAATTTAGTTAATAATATAGTATAAATTAATAAATTTATAATTTAATTAACATAACTTCATAACAAACCATATATATAAAAATTCAAACTGAAAAAAATTCTAATTATGAAGAAAAATTCACACTTATGACATTTATGAATAAACATGTAAACAAAAATTCAAATTCAGGAATGTGCACGTATAAAAAAAAACATAAAACTCACGAACATGCATGTGTACACAATGGATTAAAAAAGATGTGATAAAATAGAAAAAATTGGAAATAATCTTTATTCAAAGAGTAGACCCCCTAAAAAATCGATAATTCCAAGAAACTTTGAAGTCAGGGAAACATCAAGATTGATATTTACAGTTAAGTACTTTTTATCTATGTAATATTATCAATGGTCTATTTTTTAATATTATTTATATTCTTAATATTTTTATATATATATATATATATATATACACACACACCCATATAGACACCCAAAATTTTATATATATTTATATTGAACAATAACTTAATATTAAAAAATTAAAATCTTCAAACACACTGGGTTGTAGATTAATATTCTTTCGTTTTTTTATTATTATTTCATTTCGATTCCTCGACTAGTTTCGGCCAAAATGGCCATCATCGGGTGAAGAAATATTTCTGCTTGCTGGTAGCAATAAATATATATATATATATATATATATATATATATATACACACACACCATATATATACCCAATATATATATATATATATATATATTATTACACACACACCCATATATACACCCAATATATATATATATTACACACACACACCATATATATACACCCAATATATATATATATATATATATTACACACACACATATTATTTACACCCAAATAAAAATATATATATATATATATATATATATTTATACACACACACATATTTACACCCAATATATATATATACACACACACACCCATATATACACCCAATATATATATATATATATACACCAATATATATATATATATATATATATACACACACACACACATATATATATATATATATATATATATATACACACATATGCTAGTGTATTCCCAATAAAACTGACGGCATTATCTATATCTCTTTCATATACATTTCTGGTTAAATATTTGGTCTAACTTACATTTTATATTTTTCTTTTAATGATTTTCTGTTTTTCAAACTCTTTGCCTTTTTCCTTCACCAATTGACATCTTTGATTCAAATTGTCTAGGCTCATAAAAATTCACTAATTTTGAGGAGTTTAAGATGCTAATATTATTTTAAACAGACAAACAAGAATATAATTGACTGATTTAATTAATTGGCTCTCCCATTAATATCTAATAAAATTCTCAGAAAATTTAGAAATAATTTGAAATGATAATTTAAAAAAAAATTCAAATCGTGTTTAGCTTTTCAAAAATGTATTTAAAATTATCCTGTAATTAAAATGTGATAAAAATTCAAAGGAAATGTTAAATTTATTTTTTGTTACTTTAAACAAGTCAAGCACATTAAAGAACATTTGAAATAAGAAATAAATATAAGTAACTTGTTGAAATGATTATAAATATTTAAAATTTGGAAATAAAAAACTGAAGTTAGTATTCCAAAGTTAATTTTCTCCTGTTATTTCAATGGCTGATATATTGATATGTCAAATGCATATTATTCACCTAATCAGAGGTTCAAATCAAAATATATTATTCAATTTGATAATATTTGTTTGACCAAACATGTTATATTTTGAGTCACAAAACCAACAAAAAGTAACATTGGCTTTTATATAATAAAGCCACCATTTATTGTTTCTATGTTGTGTGGCAGAAATATTTTTTCTTTTATCTCATGATTTTCCTAAATTATCAATCGATTCAAACATTAAAACTCAAAATGCCTGAAATCACTTTAGGTGGACTTTTCTTTTGCTTCAACATTGAATCTTGTCTGCTTTTTCTGATTATGTTTTTGTTTTTTGTTTTGCTTGGCTTCATGACAGTCATTACAAAAAAATCTATGATGATTTTGTTAATGTTTTACTTGTCTTTTGGTTTTGTTTGCTTAGAAAATGCACCATATTTTATTTCAGGAACCAGGGAGTGCAAGCAGATGTATTCTTTGCATGACCATCATTGTATTCTTGTGAAGGTCACCATTCCCTGCTCTTTAAAACCTCCACCACCATCACCATTTTTTTTTTTTTAATGTTGAGTTGTTATATGGAAATTAATGCCTTTATTTGCAGGATTTTACGATATGCCATGGGAAATATTTTTCAATAATTCCTTTATTTGCTAAATCACAATCAAAAACTATGTTCTCTTCTTTCTTGAAACAGGGATTATCAAATAAATTATGTGTGCAAGATTTAATTTTAATGAAACAAGCAACAAATAATTGAGTTTAAAGATTTTTGATGAAATATAAAGTTGTTCAATTTGCACACCTGGCATCCATCTTGTGTGCAATGCAGGTTGATGCATTCAGGATTTTATTTCAAAGACTCTTTCATTTCCTCTGGGTTTGATTATCTAAAAACTGATTCAAAACAAAAACTGTCATAGAATATATATTTGTTATGTGATTTTCTAGAGTTTATTGATTTGGAAATCTTTCTTTTTCTGTTTGCCAATCATGTCTGACATAGCCCCAGGATCTGAATTTTTTTGTATTGTTGTTAGTGTCTTCAGGGGAGGTAAGCATTCAGCTTGCTTCTCTTATCCACAGATCCAGTACAATGAATATAATTTACATCACTTCTCCAACACATATTAACACATTATTACACAGTGATTTATTCAAACTGTTGTTTTCATTTTGACTGTTATTGTTTCAGTGTTTGGCTGTTGTACTTTCTGGCAATTTTCAGATGCATGTTGATGTTAGGTTTGCCTTGACACCCTAGAGAATATGGCCAACAAGAAAACAGTGATTAGTGTTAGTGAAACACAAGTAAACAATATAGACACAGCAATAAATGTTTGTACTTCCAAACATAATACAGCTACATTCATTTCTTCCTTGTTACTCTAATATAATCATGGAGTGTAAAGTTGTATCAAATTATGTATTAAAATTTAGACTCAATAAAGTCTCCTTGAATTCTTGACAGTCTCCTCAAAGATTAAAAAGAAACTTGAGGCAATGGAGGTATGGTTCTACAGAAGGATGCTGAGGATATCATGGACTGTGTGTGTGAGCAACAATTAGGAAAGGATGCAAACAAGGAAGAAGCTTATTCTTAACATCAGGAAGAGGCAGCTGAAATTTCTGGGATAATGAGAAAGGAGAGCTTAGAGGATCTGATACTCACAGGGCAAATAGAGGGAAAGGGAGACAAGGGAAAGCAATGCATGACATACTTGGCAGGCTTAAACCAGTGGATGAAAGAACATAATCAGAGAGAGGTGGCAAAGGGACGAAACTTATTGAGAGCTACAAGGGATAAGGAGAAGTGGAGAGCCATGATCACCTATGTCCTGAAGGGACACAGCATATAAAAGAAAGAAGACCTACAGACACAATCAGGAAACCAGTACACAGTAATTATCATTGACATGTACTCAGGCTGGCCCGAGGCCTTTGCTGTACCAAATAAGGAAAAAACATATTGAGAACTACAAGGGATAGGGGGAAGTGGAGAGCCATGACCGCCTACGTCCTGAAGGGACACGGCTTATAAAAGAAGGAGGAGGTCTCCTTAGATCTTTCATACATTACTTGAACACTAGTCTCTAACTAACAGTTTATCTGGTGAACTTGTGTGATAGCTTTTTGATTGGAAAGTGTGAATTGCTGCTGCTGATATATTTATGTATATCCAGTAACATTCTCCGAATTCCAAACCAAATCCTATATTTAATCCATGAAAGTAAATTCTTCCCATTCCAGGGGAGAACAGAGTAGATGGATTCACTGCCTGAATGAAATCACAAGTACCAGTTAAACTGCATTACTTAACCCATGCCTGGACAAACTAAGTCATTCAATTTAAAATTACAAGAATATTAACAAATGCAACATTTGGAAATTATAAGAGTTCAAGCATTATCCCTATAACAGACAAGATGAGGTTAAGTTTGAATAAATCATTGTATAATATATAAAATAGTAATTCTTCAAAGACATAACCAGAAAATCTCAGTACTTTGTTCAATATAAAAAAATAATTATGAAGGATTTATTGTGAAAGAACCTTTATTTCATCATTGTTTATATTTATTCTAACACACATTTAAAAAGTGTAAGTTAGAGTAGAATATTTAACAAGCTAGTCTCGGTAAATTATTTCTACTTCAATCCTCACCAGTTGTGTCTGTACTAAAAATCAATCAGACTAAACAGATAACTACTTTAGAACATGACAAAAATACACAAAATATGTGAAAACAGAATTGGTGAACCAAGTACTACTTTTAGTTGAAGCTGTTTACACTCATTTCATACTAATGCTTTTGGGAAAGGCATAAACCTATTTCTCCCTGTGCTCTGTCCATTACCAAATACCTTGACAAAATGCTTCATGCTGTCACCCCACAACGGTTAATGGGGAAGGGTGGATAAGTGAGCTTTTGCCAAAAAAAACTGATTGAAAAAGGGAATACAGTTACACTTCTTGTTGGGAGCCATATTTTCTTTAGTAGGTTTCTCAATCTCTAGTCTTGTAGACATTAATTTCACTGGTTGTAAAACAAAACAGTGGCATCTACTCAAACACATATAGCTAGTAAATATCACATTTACAATATTCAGTAATAATATCTGATTAATTGCTTAAAAATTCCTCTACATCATAAAAGTAGATGTGTAAGTAGGTTTGATGCCACTTGGGATAATTTATAGAAAAAATGTGCCTTAAATTAAAATCACTGTTATTTTAACCTTTAATTTATTTGTGGACAACTTCAATAAGAAAAAAAAAAACTTGTTCAGCAGATTACTTTGATCATTGAATAATAGTAAGCTTGAATTTTTTGGTTGTGTTATCATGTCCTGCTATGGCAACATAAAACAACCTTAACAAAAATAAGCAATAGGACTACTGCATTTAAGGGACAATGAAAAAGAATTCAGTGACAGGGTGAGTAACACTGATGAATTATTTTCTCTTTTATCAGACTTGAGCTTGGCTGTCAATATGACATTGTAAAAAAGATGAAATTAATGGCAATAGGCATCAGTTTCAAAAGTTATTTTCACTTTGTTTTTCCTCTTCAGGTTAAATGACTATTCTGAGATATCAAAGTCAAATAATCAAATATTTGTTGATTTTTTTTTTTCAGAATTTTGATGTTTGAGGAGAAGAACAAACCAAAGGAAATACCAAAGGGCCCTCCCCCAAAGCGTGACCTCAGCGCCTTACCTTGATCGGAACCAACTTTGGACGCCTGGTCACTTGCCAGTGACTTGCACTGACATCAGTTGCCAACAAATCTATTTCTGACAGTGTTGCTCTGTCAAAAGGTTCTTTTAGGAAGAGGAGCATATTTTTTAACAAGGAACAAATCATATTTGTTCATGGTCATCTGTCAATCATTATCACTCTCACATAATAATCAATCTTTCTTTTAGGTTTCTAAGTCAAAGAAAAAGTGTCAAAACGTTTATTATTATTATTATTGCTTTTATTTGTTTCTGTTAACTCTTCTGAATTTCAAATTGGAATTCAGAATATTTTTAATAAATTTTTCAAAAATGTTAAAAAGTTCCCAAACATTAAAAAAACTGTTCCAAAAGGAAACAGCTGATCCACACAAATATCAAAGGTGCCATCTGATAATATTTAAAAATTTAAATACCTTCAACATTTTCCACTAACTTGCTTCTCTGTCTTGACAAATTTCGAGAAAAAAACAACAAAAAAAAAACTATATTTTTATGAGAAAAGGTAAAACCGCTTCTGTCAAGTAATGCTAAATTGTTTCATACGTCATGAAAATGTATTGCTAATTCTTTTACAGAATGCATTGGAAGTGAAAACCAAGAAAACGTTTGATGGCTGTTTCTTTTATTAATCAGTGATTTTAAAGTTTCCATTAATGCTGGAGCTAATATAAAAAAACAAACAAACTTTAAGGCGATTTACTGCTCAATAACTTATCCAATGTGATATAATTTTAAAGCAATCAGCCATTCTACATTTTTTATTTTACGATCAAGATATTGATCCTAGAATCATATCACCAAAAGAAAATTTCAAAAAAGAGGCTAATTACGACTACTTCAAATAAAAGTAATTCTGGCCACAAATGTTTTCTGGCAAACTTGGCAATAATATTTGTTAGACAATGACGATAGCATAGTTTGTCTTGTATTAATGTTTGTCCTAATTGTATCCTGTCAAGGCAGTAGAAGAGCAAGTGCCAATTAAAAGGCATTGTTTTTAACTTATTTTCAATTTGGGAATCTTTGTCTGATTTTTCTTCTTGCTCTCTTTATTCTTAATTCTTTTCAGACTTGTCTCTTTGCAATTGTCAACCAATATATCCATTTATCAGCATTCACTACTAAGCTCTGGTCTAATTATTTAATTTGGCCAGATGCAAAATTCATTGCTGTTATATTTTTGTGCATAATATTCAAAACGCACAAGGTACTGTAAAAACATCAAACTTTAAATGATCAGCCAAGTTTGTATTTCACAGTCTTGGTACGTGGGAGTGAATCTTGTTTTTAATCTAATTCGTGTCTTGGATCATCTGTCTAATTTTGTAAGATGTCTAACACAAATATAACAAGATTATTTTCCCCCCATAAAAATTTTACAATCTTGAAATGATAAACGACAAATGGTATTTATTTACCTTATTTTGTCAATAACATTAAATTCAATTTTTGCCAAGACCTAACTGCAGTTTTTTAATACATTTTTTAGATTTTTTTATTATGGCAATCTTAGAAAAAAATTATTTTTTGACATTTTTTTTTCTTTTTTTTCATTCTCTTTTGTATTTTATGAGATTATTTTCTATAAGAGCTAAAAAAACAAAAAAAAACCAAAGAGTATCCATTTCTGTAAACAGTGAATGACTGAGCAGGTGATCTTTATTCCTCATGTTCAACTGGGGTCTAGCAAGTAGCCACATCAAAAACTGGCAGGCCATTGCAAGAGTGAGTTTCCAATAGAAAAAAAAGCAACAAGCATAATTAGTGTTTAAATAATAATTTGCTCTATTTTTATTTTCCTATCATATATCTTAGCTTAAAGACTCTCAGTGTAGGATCTCACACAGAGTAGCAACCCACAGCTGTTGTATCTATATATTTATTTATTGTAATTATTATTGAAGGAATCTTTGGCAAAGTGCACTGGCATAGAAATGCAGGTTTTAATGACTTAATATTTTGTTTCATGCAAGCATGTAAACCTTATAATATGCTTCTGGTGAATATTGCTATAGTCCATTTGTACAGAAAATATGATGCATTTTTTTAAAAGAAATATATTGCCCACCTCTTTTTTTTTTCTCCTGGAATAATAATTTAAAGTATTCAAAGTGAGCATTTTTTGTACTAAGTCATTATTTTTGCATGCATTTGTCTTCAAATCTTAAAGCAATTTAATGCACAAGCTAACATTTACCTTTGTAATTGCAACATTTTATCTGCAACTAAACAAGCACTTTGATTACAAAATCCACAAAATGTTTGTATTATTTTAACAGAAAAATACGCAAAAATGTCAGATCTTTACAAATAATCGCATCGCTGGGATCTTTTCAGACAAATTCTAGTTATGATATCAAACAATTTAAAGTGATTTTAAAATGTTAATTTTTGTACTGTTATTTTGTAGAATGGAAAAATGTTGAACAGAAATGAGTTAATGTTGACTTTTTGTAATAAAAGTCGACATTTATTAAAATTGTTAATTATGACAAATCAGTAATGTTAAAGATGCCAGTTTTTCTAATATTAAGACGACGAATTTGAATTTAATAAGTCTTATTCCTTCAATTTTATCCGATCCAAAATTTAAAAAATGTGATCTTAAATAATTCAGTCCGTGTTCTTTGTGGATCAATGAATTTCAATTAAAAGTTCGATTTAATTATTTTCTTGAGTATATCTTAGTTCTAGTCACAATAGGCATAAAGTATTATTAGAGTTTTATATGCTTTTTGTTTTACTTATGACTTTAATGAATTCATTTAACACTTTTTAGTGGGTTTTTTTTTGGGTTTTTTTTAATATAAAAAATCGAAGAAAGAATATGAAGAAACTTTTTTTCTTTTAAATTCTCTGTTATACTGTAAAAGTAAAATTTTAGAGGCTTTGTACTCAAAATTATTGCATACTTGATTTAAATTTTGATATAAATATTGTCAATCTAGTTTATTAACTAAAATATCCCGGTTCTGAAAGGTAACAAAAAAATCAAAAGAAAATTTGCTGGTATTATTTTAATTAGAATTATCCCGGTCCATTATTGTTAATAATAATCAAAATTGTTTTTCCATGAAGTTCAAATAATTATCTCCCTTTGGAGAATGTCCCCCAATAATTTATGCTTGCTTATAAAATTAAAAATTATTGCAAGGAATGTATTCCTTGATTTTTACAATTCTCTCATCACTTAAAAATTGAAGAACATAGAAGTATTTAATTTACAACAGAAACGATAACACAATTTTTTTTAAACATCTTTTATACAAATGAAGATATTTAGACATAAAAGGTATTATCTGCAAAATTAAATATTTTCATTGGACATTGTAAAAATAAGAATCCCAGTTAACTAATATTTTACTTAGTAGAATCTTAAATTAAAAAAAATGTTCTAAATGAATTCTGACTGATAAAAGATCATTGGTTTGAACTTGTAAAACTATCACAGATAAATGGTTTGATCTGATAAAAATATTTGTATACATTAAATCATTTTAATAGAAAATCTTTACAAATGCTTCCTTATTAAACTTTTCTTTTAACTTTCTAGACTGAGCAACTGTGCTGTTTTTAATAACCATCACATTTCTAAGTAATTCTACCCTTAATCTGTAGGACTGTTTATCAAACCAAAAATCACCCATTTATTTGGATACAATTGCTTAATGTCTCATCCAATCATATCACTTGAATTGTTGTCTGCAAATTGAGGGCTTCATTTATGCACTAAACACATAACAAGAATTATTTTTGTTGTTAATGCACACACATACACACACGTGTATATATATATATATATATATATATATATATATATATATCTTCACTTCTGTTGTTGCATATTTAGCATGGCAAACCCTTGACTCTGTTTCATTGTGTGTAATAGAAGCTTACAAATGGTTTTAGGTCAGTTAATAAATTCAAGATGCCATTTTCAATAATAATAATAATAATCATATAAGTTGAATAGTCATTTGTTGATTTGAGCTATTTGACAATTCTGTTTGTCAAACAGAAGTTAAATCAAGCTTCACATTGAGAAATGTAATCAAAAATATGTGAATATTTAAGACTAACTCAAACTATATTGACTTAATACCTATAAATAGTATGTTTATATCAAGAAAACTGGCCAATTTTTTAATACGAAGTTTAGCTGATGATATTTGTCTAATTCAGTATTTTTTTATTTGTTTTTTTTAGCAAAACGGCCATGTTTTTCTTTGATTTTTATTTTATTTTAGAATTGTTTTAAAAATTTGTTTTTTGCAATTTGTGTTTAAAAATGTGCTTTATCCAGATGGCAGCATGGCAAAAATGGAAATTCACTGACTGGATATAAATCTAAATAAAACCCAAAGCAATCATAATTTCAACCACTTGACAAAATCTGCCTCATTAGCCACAAATCATCATACACTCAAGCAAGTCTTGTGAGGCCAGAAAATTTGACAAGAACAGCAGAGACATGATTTTCTCAAGTCATGTTATATCTATCTGGTTTACCAAATTTCCATCCTTTCAACATCAGCTTGAAAAATTGTCCCCATGTGCTTCCATATTGCAAACCAGGTATAAATAAATTACCAAACATTTCTACAAGAATTGGTGAAGACTTTCTTTTAACTTTTAAATCTCTGTAGACTCTAAAGAAATATTTGAAGAGATTGGTCCCTTTCTATAAAAAAGAAAAAGTAAATAAATTGTCCACATTTTTGATGCCATATTAATACAGTGGGGCCTTTTATATTTGCTAATACCAAAGCATCTTCTCTACTCAAGTAAGGATGCAATTGTTACTGCGTACCTATTCACCTGGTTTTCTTGTGATGTACATAACACTGCTAATGTTGATAGTATTAAACATTTGTTATGGAACAGCCATAAAAAAAAAATGTTTGTTTGTTATTTTTTTATTATTATTAACTGGACCTGTGGTAATTCCATGAGTGTTTCTTGTAATTTCTCATTCTTTCCTT